AAAAAAAAAAAAGAAAACTTCTAGTGCTGTACCTCTCAGTTTCTCCCTGTATTTAAACTACCTCACATACAACACAGAACTGCTTGGAGTTTAGACTGCAATTAGCTTTGCTCCAGCTTCAGGGATCCATCGTCAGTACAAGAAAAGTATCATTTAAAAAAACATTTGCACTCACAAAGGCATTGCAGTATGGAGAATCAATTTTTTTTTCTTTAAAGGGTTGGGATTAGCTAAAACATAACATGCAAACACCAAAGTAAATGAGAGAAAAAATGTGAAAAATGTTTTTCAGCTCTGTGAACTAACTTTATTAAAAATCTTATATAAACTGGTAATAGTTCCATATGTTGCAAAATGACTGCAGTATTACCTTAAATGGAGGAGAATAGCCATCACTTTGCCAGTGTTTGAATAATCTGCCTATTAAAAGGTAGGGGAGGGGTAGAGGTTGGAGCTACTATTTCTCTTTGATTCTCTCTTAACCCTCACTTTCCAGAGTATGACAAAGACTCTGAAACAAGCTTTGGAAGAGCTGAAAAAAATGAATGCAATGCTAAGTCAACATAAAGCTTCTCATAAAACAACAGCAGTATTATTTTTTTCATTGTTTCCCATTTGGGAATTTTCTCTGATAAACACTTCCTCTAGGTGCCTGAGCACAAGCAAAAGCATTACAAAGTAGATAGGAGGCGCCATAATTTTCATTCAGTAACAAAATAAAAAGAATTGTCTCACCTTTGAACACCGCTCCTGTCTCTTAAACACACATTGGAAATCTGTGGAATCATTTCCACAACTTTCTTGGTTGGCTCGGAAATGCTGCTTTTACAATCTGAGTGAGTCTCCTTTTGCTGCAATAGCTCCTGTTTGGCATATTCTTTGAGCCTCTTGTACAGCGTGCGCAGGCCCTGTGCAGTACGAGGAGGGCGATCTACTCCGATGGCATTGTAGTTATCAGCTATAATATCCCAGCATTTGTTTTTTTCCACTATTACAGAATGCTTATTGGTATGTTCCTCGAGAATTTTAACATACGGCTTCACGAGTTTTAGCAAATCGAGCTTTTCAGATAAGGTAAAATTAGAAGATCTGGCCTTCCCAACCATTGTTATCTTTGAATTAAGGAAGCCGTTCCTGGAGCCACCATGCAGTCCCTAGCTCTGCTCAGCTCTTTTTCACAAACAGAAAAAGATCAGGCTTAACTAGGCTAGTCTCATTTAGGCCCACGCCTACAAGGGAGGGTTTATTAAAATTCCTTCAGCTTAAGCTGACGCAGGTTCAGGAAATCTGCTTAAGCCAAGCCTGACCTACATAAGGCTTCAGACTGAAGAAGGCGAGAAGAAACAAGCAAAATACACTTTTGTATGAAGAGACCAGACATATGCAGGATTTAAAAACATAAAGGTTTAAAGATTAGCACATTACCCAGCTAAAAATTACCTAATTTAGCTGGAGTAACAAGCTCTGACACATCTCCCAGCTCCCTCACACAATCTCAAACTGAAACCGTGCTGGAGATGATTTTACGTGTAACGATGTCCCCCCCAGAAAAGCAACAACTGCTTTGTGCGAGGCAGGGCGCGTTGCGGGGAGCGGGAGGCGAGAGGCGGCGGCGCGTGTGGCGAGAGCCCCGGCAGAGCCCCCGGCGCCATTTGCATAGAGCTGGTCTTGCTGTCAGTCACTGCGGGGCGGCATCTCCCCCAGCCGGCTGGTTACGCTCGGGCCTCGCCGCAAAGCTCGGCTTCTCCCGCACTTGGCAGCCGGCGACAGCCACCGGCACGGGGGCTTCTTAAAGAGCCCGCTGCGCTCCCCGGCCGAGCTCCGGCGCCGGAGGAGCGGCACGGTCGCCTCGGTGCGAGCGGGCCCCGAGTGCGGCCCTGGGGCGGCTCCGGGCGAGCCCCGGCTGCGCCCCTCGGCCGGGGCTGCGGGGCGGCCCCGCGAGGGCTGGGGCCGCCCGCAGTCGTAACAGAGCGCCGAGCGCCTTACAGCGTGTGGATACTGGGGGTTTCACAGTATCCACCAGCAAACAAATGACTTTTATTGTATTTATCCAGGCGCTTTTCCAGGATAAAGAAAAAAATAGGATTTTTATTAACAAGATGTGCCTCCATTTCTAATGTTTGCTCAACAACGTATCGCCTTAAAGCAAGCCTTCACATAAACACGCATGCCAGGCTTTAAATTTCTGTGGTCTAAACAAAACCAAAAACTGGAAAAAGAGAAAACCCAATAGATAGCAGGAAAGGTGTTCTCAAGTACAAAAAGCAAAAACTTAAGTTTGAAAAATGACGTACTCCATTGAAAGCGTCCGGAGGGTGGAAACAAACACCACTTGAGATAGTGGCAACAGCTTCCTAAGCTTAACATGTCCAGCCTTGAAAACAAGGGAGCCTAGAAGCGGGGGGGGAAGGAAAGAGAAATAATTATAGCTTGAAATATCCTAAGGCTATAAAGATCTAGGTATAAACTTGTTTGCTCTAAGGGGAAAAAACGCAAAGCAGGCAAGAGCCGCATTCGAAACAAGAAATTCACACTAAACAAAGGGAGACTTTTAACTGCTAAAAATCAATTAGCATTTAAAATAACAAGCACTTCTGGAACCATTTCTAAGACTTGGCTTGTCAGTACCATCTAACAAAATTGTGACCAGTCCACTTTGCTGGCATTGCTTTCAAGCCAAGATTAAATAAAGCATGTTATAGTCTGAAGCCTATTACACTTAAATTTGAGAAACAAAATACTCTTGTGGTTAGAAGCACTGTATGAAAACCATTACATATAAACACCTAATCCTTTCCTACTTCCCCTCACTTTGCACTTTACTAATATTAAGAATATAAAGCTGGTGGTTAGAGTTTTGGGTTTTCTAATTAGTGTTCTTAATTGTTCTTTAGTAACTGAACAAAAATTGGATGTGCTTCACATGGTTTAGACTCTGGTAGTATCAGCATTGAGGAGTCACAGGTGAGCCTATAATGTACCCTCCATTGTTGAAGCAGTTGTGCAGTGCCTGCCCAGACTCTTGACTTTTTGGAGACAAAAATAAGTCAGTGATTAAAGGCTCCTCCCCACAGACACAAAGAGCACAAATGAACAGTGTGGGGCAGAGGAACCACAATAACCCAAATGAAAGGAACCAAGCCCTCAGTCCAGCTGCTCCCAGGCCCCAGGGGCAAGACAGACCCAGAGTCCACAGGAGAGGCCCTCTCTAGACCACCTCACAGACGCAAGGAGGGCATTACTGCCCACTGGGTATGGGACTCAATATGAGATGCCCAAAAGAGTATTTTGGGATTGCAGAAGGCAGTACTTCTAAAAATATAGTAATATCTAAAAGGATATTTAGAGGAAGAACTGAAGTCAACACAAGGGATAGTGAACCATGAAAGTGGTTTGGGAAAGAACAAAGCATAGGATGATACTGGGAGAATGGGGGAAAAGGGATAACAGGAGCCAGGTGAATGTAAGCAGATACAGGTATTGCCCAGTATGGTTGTTCACCATGCCCTAGGCCCGAGCATAGCAGATTGTCCCATCTGCTTGTTAAACTACATTTGCAGCTATTTTCCTGGGTGAGGGGAAATCTCCATTCAGTGTGACCATGTACAGAAACATAGATGCCAGCAGCTGGAGTTGTACACCACGGGTCACAGGGGCCCAGGGTGCTTGAGGCACCAGAAGGCAGGAGGAGCCCAGGCACACGGCCTGGATGCCTGTGTCAGTGTGTGACCTCGGGCAAACTCCAAACCAGACTAGCCACACAGAAGGCTTGGGAGCCAAGCAACCATGAGTCTGGGCCAGATACTGCAGAGACCAGAAGGTCTGAGATTTGGCTACTGGATGGACACCAGGACACCTGGGGGCAGGCCAGACCAGCTGCCAGAGAGACCCAGTGTGTGTTTGTGTGTCAGATGGGAGACCAGGGGATCCAGGGACCAGTAACTGAGCAGAGTAAGAATTTAAGGCCACTTGCTGGAGGATCCATGTTGTGCACGTAAGCATTTGCCACAAACAAGCTTTCTTCACAGTCAGCCAGTGAATGGAAAGGATGAGGCCATTGAAGCTGCTTGTATTTGCATGAGTGCTGCATTTCTTGATGTCTGTCTGTTTCTACACATATAGTGTGCATATGTGCCTCTTAAAGGTACATCCTTGTGGTCCTGGCCACGAGGAGCTGCAGCAGTCTCTTCTACTATGGGCTACCAGATGCAGCAACTCCCAGTATTAGACTCATCTAAACCTGTATTACTCTATTACCTTAGTGCTTTATGTTGCTAGAGAGACTAAGTTTCCACTCCAATGTAATTATAGCAGAATACTGCTATAAAGTTTTCTTTTGAGAAAATGCCTCATGAAATGCCTGAATTACATATTGTTCTGCATGAGTGTAAAATAACTCTTGTATAAAATGAAGCTGGCTGCCAACCAAGATTTTTTTCCTTCTTTTTTTTTTTTTTTTTTCCCCTTTTTAAAATAGCTCTGCTCATCAGCCTAAGGTCATATCAGTACTTGGATGAGAAATCACAGAATGTGAAAAGCCTGGATATTAATGCTATGTAGAGACATCTTCAAGCTAAAACAGTAGGTGTAGCTCCAAGACAATTACAAAAACTGAAGATGCTGCCACAATCCACCTTTCATCCTACACCTTCCACCAACACTTGCACTTAATGCAACACAGTGCCCAGCCAGTTCAGCAAGATGATCTAGCTACAGAATAATCTATTTATTTTGCAAACATAAGAATTTAATATGAATTTAATAATTGGTTTAAGTCAACACAGATGTGGTACATTGTCAAAACAGTCATTTCTGCCTCCCCCCAGCCATGTCATGTTCCTGCCACTTCACTGTGCTGATATGAGCACTCGCAAATCTGGACAAGTCATATTAATAATTTTTTTCTGAGCTGAGTTAGTTTAAATCACCAGCAGTTCTCTAATCTGGTATGCCACAGGATCAATAACTCACACAGAGAAATATCTTGATAAAGCTTCTTTAGACTCTACCTGGATCATAGTAGGGTTAATTGGAAACCATATTCCTAAAGACTTGTATTACCACAACTGAGGGGACAGCAAACCACAGGTAGCAGGAGAGAAATTCTGCTCAGCATTGAAGAAAATAAACATACATGCACCCCTCACATCACTTCACTGCCTTCTATACCTCCTGGTTTTGCTGTGAAAATGTCTGGAATTAATACCAGAAAATGATACAAACAGTGCATCCTGCAGAACTATTGAGATTAATGAATCACAGCTCTAATACAGTCAGGAATTCAAGTAGCCAAATCACTGTGGATTGCTGAAAAAGCTCAGTGGCCACAAATTTTACAAGTGATAAGTTTGTATCACTGCCACTAACTGCATCAAGTGGCCCATGTAAATATAGACACATTATAAGACAAAACACCCTGAAAAGGAGAATGTCTTAAATCAAGGGAGCATTTTGGAGGAAGTGGGAGGATCTTTTGTCACACAGAACTGAGGAGGAATCTCTCCATGACAGACTTAAAAAAAGAATCACTTTAAGGTACATGGAGACAAAGAGAAAAAGACGTCTGAGAAAACTGAGAATGCCCTAAGAAAGAATGTGTCTTGAAAGATGCCATTTGGAACAGAGAGCAAATATGAATGTTGAAAGGAATGACACCAGCTTAAGTGATTCAGGCTGGGACCTTCTAGTGCAAAAAATATCAAATCACCAGATTGCTAAGCCCTGTGAAGATGTTTTGCCCACAAAGTGGTAGCCCCAGGATAAGTCTGAAGGACTACTGTTCTTATTTAGTAATACGCAAGTAAACCAGCTCTGCAGAGGCCTGGGGTTAGCATTTGCAATCACCTAGCAGCCTGAAAATCCTTGAGAAGAGGATGATTGCAAGATTTGAATCAAAGCTAAAATGGAACCCTGGCACCCCTGTGCTTATAAATAATGTAGAAAGACTCAGCAGCTAGCATGGGGTATGTTATACATAACTGAATATACTGGGCTATTATGGCAGTGGAAACATTTGGCAACTATCAAGGCAGTTGCTTACCCTTGCAAATGAATTTGGCAGCTGCATAAGATGAGAGTGTCTATAGGTAGTAAGGGCTGCAAAACTTCCATTAGGTCATCATATAGTCCTCTCTACTGACACGACAGCAAGACAGTGCCAAGTCATTCGATCTGCCTGTCTTTAAGAGCCTGCTAAGCAAAGGGTGGGTAAGAAAACTTTGCTTGGAAGGTTTCTCACAGGGCCAGTTGTTTCATGGGCAGGGTCTAAAGGTAAGGGTTGCAGACATTAGTCACTAAGAATAGGGTTGAAGATGACAAAGTTTTGTGAACCAAAAGCTGTAATACAACTTCACCTA